ATAAATCGCATATTTTTAAGTAAATATATTAGAATTTTTATCCAATAGAAAATTCTTATACATGTGATACGATCACATTTCCGCCTTAACCCGAAATCACCTCACATGATTCTACTCCGCTTTAGCCTACCCCCGGTTTCGGTTCAGTTCAGTTTCGGTTTATTAAATATTAATTTGATCACCATCTATTTATATTAATAAATAAAGATCTAGATTTTTTTTAATAATTATAATGGCCGAGATTATAAGTGATACTGAATCAAAAAATTCTCAAGAAAACGTAGATGATAATGAACTATCAGTTTCAAGAGAAGCCAGTAATAGTAATTTAACAGAAGCAAGCAATAGCAATTTGACAGTGATTAATAATAACAACAATAATAGTGATAATAGCAATAATAAAAAAAAGCCTCTATCTATCAGTTTTTACTTTAAATAAAGAAGAAAATAGATATTATTGCGATCATTGCATGTGAGTATTAAGGAAAGATATATGCATATAATGTAAATATATAAAATATTAAATGTATATACTTTTGACCTTTTAATTTTAGTAAAAGTTATAAGGCTGCTAAAGATAGTTCAACTTCTACATTAAGGGGCCATATTGCTTATGAACATAAACAATTGGATTCAGAAATATCTACTTCAGGACCATTGGATAAATTTGTTAAATCAAAAACAGCATTGGCATGTATAAATTTTTTTAATGTTATATTAACTGTACAACTTTACCAATTTCGATCTTGTGAACTGAAATCATTAATTTTTTTGTAAATATTTGTTCAATCTGTATGAAAATTTAAATGGAGATATTACTAAATGTGGTAAATAAGTTTAATTAGTGACAGAATGGAGGTTAGAAAGTAGTTCATTAAAGAGAAACAGATTAATCCTTTAAACTTTATTTTTAATATTAATTTTAAATATTTACTCAAGAAAATTAGATTTGAAGATTTGATAAATCAAATTGTAGCTGATGATCAATCTTTTATTGTTGGTAATAAAGAATCATTTAAAACCATGATAAAAAGACTTAATCCAAATGCTAAATTACCTACTAGTAATACTATTCGAAACAAAATTCTCAAAACTTTTGAAAATGAAAAAGAAAGAATTAAAGAAGAATTACAAGAAATTTCCTGTTGTATTTCTTTTACTTTAGATATCATCATTCATCCAAGATGAAAGATGATATTCTCATGTTTATGGATAATGATGGATGAAGGTAAACAAAGGGAAAAATATAAAATAACTGCATAATGAGAGAAGAAACAAGAGATTTTCCCTCTCGCGAAACTTTTAAAATTCATATAATATTTTACCTTGACAACAATATTTTCTTTTATATTTTTTTTTTTTTTAACAAATAATTTTGTAATAATCCTAATAATTCATAATTACTTTTCTTATGTTTTTATAATAAATAATTCCTCAAATAATACTAGTAATAA